CGCCGGCATTCAATGCAGTAAATGCACCGTGCACGCCGTACGTGTCATTTACGAATTAAATTAATTTGTTAGTTCTTATGCGGTGGCCGGGACGTGCCGTGCGGCCGAAATAAATTTACGATAATGCTCATTAACTCTCGGGCGCGGCGAGTACCGACGTGTGCGCGAGCGCACGTGAAAATTAGTCGACTACTGGCTGGGGGGTCCCCCCCCCCCCGCCACTGCTCCTGGAAAATCATGCTCGTCCGGCCACCACCGTCGATGCGATTACGCGATTCCACCCCCGTTCTACCAGGAACATCTGTATGCTCCAAGTAAAACGCGGCCCCCGATAAAGCGACCGCGTACGATTATAAATATTTGATCTGCTTCATTATGCTATCGATCCGCGACGCGGCACACTCAACGCTCGCCAGAGAACCGGCTATTATTACAGCTTATTAACGGGGGATCAGAGGAGTTTTCCGCTGGTCAATTTTCATCGTTGCCGGCAATCGCTGGAATCGGAGACTTCGGAGAAAACGTGTTGAGGGAGATGGAAAGGTTTTTAGGAGAAAACAAGGCTTTTCCAGAACAGAATTTTACATGCTCTTTGGGGACAGATGAAAGAAGTGATATGTAGCCACATTTTTTATTCGAAAATCTAAGAATGAAATTCAAGTATTTTTTTAAACTTGTAGTTTTCGTTCCAAGCAGTATTTTGAAATTCTAACAGATAAATGTGCGTACAAAATTTTCGCGTATAGGTGAACTGATGTATAAGATATTGCTGTGTCTGGTTTCGTTCGTTATTAGCATTTTTTTATCGAAAATTCTGAGGGAAAGTGTTAGAGGAATTTTTTGAAAATTTATATTTTGGTTTACAAGCAATATTTTAGAATTCTGACGTATAAGTGTGCATAAAGAAGACTAGAAGATCTGTGGGAAAAATTTGTAGGATCCTATATAAATTTGGCAAGTTTAAATTTTTTCGATTCCCCTCCAATGTTTGTAAGATTGAATCTGTTGAATCTGAAAATTGTTTATTCGACGTGTTAGAAGAATATCGCATTTCTCAATGAAAAATCAATTCGAACTTGCAGAGACCGGCCATTCTGGTAGAATCAGAGCAGTGACAAAATTTAGATTGGAAAATCAATCTATTTTCATCGCCTCGTTTAAACAAATCGGTTTCATAACAAAACCCACGA